ACAGGATATTTAAAAAGTGGCTATAACACATAATTAAATCAATAGTTTGTTAGAAAGCATCAAGTGTTATTTTAGTCACCCAAATAATGACAGTGTTAGTCTCCTAGATAGTGATAATGATGATGATACCAACTCCCTATGTTCTAAATATTTTGTCTATTATTTAAAGTTTATTAATTTACTCTTCACAGCAAACTCATGAGGCAGCTGCTCTTAATATCGGCATTTTACATATGAGGCAATTAAGGCCCAGAAAGATTAATTTTCCCAAGACCACACTAGGTACAGAGTGGAGCTGGGATTGCCTCCTGAATAAACTGCTAGATTGGCATAACCAGTCCCACCTCTAAGAGTTGTGAAGGAAATGCCCTCCACTGTCTGAGGCACTTCACATGCAACACCAGCAAGGGCAGAGTTTAAACCTTCATATTGCATTGACTGGGGAAGAAGAACTGAGAAGACTGTGTGGCATCAAGGAGAAGGAACAGCGGGTCCTTCTATAAAGAGGGAAAAGTAGACACTTTCTGATTTTCCGGCAGCAGATCTGGAGATTATTTCTATTACCCCTCTTACCCTGCTTTAGTTATTTCCCTCTTCATGTAGTCATCAACAGTGGTAGCAGAGATGCAGGGAAGATGAAATGTGGAGCTGATTAAATACATGGCAATGGCTCTGCTAAGTGATTTGGCTGGGGAAGAGGCTGTGACTGCAGTAGAGTGAGGATAAAGCCAGGCATTGGCTGCCAGGCTTCATGATGGTTGACCTGTCAATTCTCTAGAATTTCATTCTAGAACAGCAGCTATGTCAATCATTATAATGTCCTTGAGGTACATTTTAATTTTAATCAAGTTTGTCAAGTTTGTTTTTATCCTTTAATGTAATACACATTGTATGGGTATATTGTTTTTCCAGATTTTTCTAGGAGCAAAAAAAAGTGGGGGTGGGGATGGCCAACTCCATGTAAATATCTGGTCAGAGGGTTACAGGAAGCTGTTAACTCTAGGTAAGCTGTGCTTTGAATTAGGTACTTCCATATAGTGGCTAGAGCACAGATAGAGATTGCTTTCGTAATAAAAGATCCTCTTCACGTGTACCTGCCACCACCAATGAGAAGTACTAAACTCCAATAGTTTGATGTCTTGAATGGAACCAGCTGGATGCTTGTTTTCATTGCCGTGCAAGCCTGGATTAATTTGCTAGCTACAAACCACTATTTCTATTGAGTACTTACTATGTAGCAATTGTACTATGTAAACACTGTATATGCAGTATCATTTTTAACCTTCATAACAGTCCCGAGCAGAAGGTATTGTTATCCCAACTTTAGAGATGGCAGAACAGAAATTGAGAGAGAGAAAATACCTTGCTAATCTCTCCTCTTAGTAAGACCAAGATCCAAATGACATGGAAGCCTCAAGCTCTAAAGCTCTTTGCTATTCTATTCTTAGAGTCTCCTCAGGGAGTCCGAATTTCTGACTGGGAGATGACATGGAAGGTGATCTGATTCAATTCTCTATTTTATACATAAGTTGAGAGACTTGTCTAAGGACACAGGATGTGTAGAAACATATGGCCCGAAGCCAAAAAACAAATTCATAAGTGCACGCCCCATATATGTAGTGATTTTGTATTGAGGAAAGAGTAGAAGGTGAGTTCTGGAATTTTGAAAGTTATTTTAAGGTAAATGTGGCAAGTTCACAAATTTGGGGACCAAGAAAAGAAGTCTAATTACCAACTAAAAGAGGAAAAGGAATGGTCGCCTGAAGTAGGTTTGAGGGTAGACCGACAAGAGGAAATCTGGGGGACAAAAAGAAAAGTGTGTGTGTGTATGTACACATTTAGCTTAAAATGACAGTGAAGTGGCCAGAAAAAAAGAAATCAAATGAAATGGCCAAGGGTTCGGGAAGAAGAAATGACTGGGCCTCTGCCTGATCAGATAGTAAGACCCTGGGTTGCTTATCTGGGGAGATGGGATGGGTGGAGAGGGAATCACTCATTTTTTGTTGTTTGTTTTCCTTCCATTTTGTGTAAAGCTAAAAATGCTGAGTGTCTAACTTTTGAAAGTTGGTCTATTGTTTCATTTTACTGAAAAAAAAAAATAGAAGAAAATGAGTCATTTGGATTTCTACACATTCCCCAAAGGAACCTAAATTACAAGTAATACCAAAATCATCCTTTCAGTGTTTACTGCAAGCCAAAAACTTCCCTTTAAAATCTGATGAGAGCTAAATATAAATGCTATGACCACAGCTTTGCCTTTGGTTCCTGGGGCTGCCTTTCTGGGACTCCTAGGGGTGGGCAGGACAAGATGCTGAACTTTGCTGAAAGCAAGTTTGCCTTTAGGCCTTCATGCTTTCCATTTTAGTGGCTTCTGCCTCCTTCTGAGGCCCTACCATGAACACCTCATCCCTACACTGGTCCTACATGCTAGACTTACCCACTTCTCTGCCTGACTTGTCCCTCTTAACCAAGGGGCCTACTAGTCTTCAGTCGTTTTCTCTTTTGCTTCCCAAAATATCAGCTCTTGACCTCAGAACCCTGCTCTCAACAATCTTACAAACTCATTTACACTAAGTCTTGTTCATCAGTGAGTTGAGCATTTCAATTTCTCAAAAGCATTTAATTCCCTACACCATATCCCATCCCCTTTAAGTAGGAGACATAATGCTTTACGCAGAATAAAACATCCCATCTAACATAAATGTTAGAATCATGGGCATTTTGGAAAGGTAGCATGCTTACAATTCTCTGATCTTGGTCTTATTTCACAAATCTGTACTTTTGCACAAGCTGTTTTCCTATGTAGACTGTCTTCTCACTCTAATTAGCCTATCTAATGAAATTCCTGCTAACTGCTCATAAGCCTTCCTAACACGATCTCCACCCAGAAAACTTTCTCTGATTATTCTAAAACTGTGTTAACACAGGACCCACTGACCATGGGATGCTCTTGAGCATCTGAAGTGTGACTAGTCCATTTAGTGAGGCACTAAAACGCACATCAGATATGTAAGAATTGTGTAAAAAAATGATGAATCACAAGGTCAGGAGTTCAAGGCCAGCCTGGCCAATATGGTGAAACCCCTTCTCTACTAAAAATATACAAAAATTAGCCAGGCATGGTGGCAGGCACCTGTAGTCCCAGCTACTCGGGAGGCTGAGGCACGAGAATCGCCTGAACCTGGGAGGCGGAGGTTGCAGTGAGCTGAGATCATCACGCCACTGCACTCCATTCTGGGCGACACAGTGAGACTCCATCTCAAAATAATAATAATAATAATAAAATAAATAAATTTAAAAAATTGTTATATTGATTGCATGTTGAAATGACACTATTTTGGATACAATGGATTGAGGACATATATTATCAAAATCAATTTCATCTTTATTTTTACTTAAGTGGCTACTATAATTTTTTCTTTTTAATTTTTTAATTGAGACAAAATATACATATATAATTTACCATCTTTAAAATTTTTACGTGTACAGTTCAGTGGTAATAAATATATTTGTATTCTTTTTCTCCCTCTTCACCACTGTTCCCCCACTTACCCTGGGACAAAAACATTTAAAATTACTTCTGTAATTTACTTCTGTAAAATTACTTCTGTAATTGGCTTCTGTTTGGCTTGTATTAGATTTATATTGGATAGTGCTGCCCTAAAGACCAGTGGTTTTGAACCTGCAGGGGGAGAGGGATAGGATGGCTAAATTGTCTGGATGTCTGTTAAAGTGCATATTGGAGTGAAATAAACTATGTTTCTGATATATATCAATAATATACTGAGATAATCAATGAAGAGCAAATGCATTTGGGTCTTTGGTGTTCTATCAAGGACTATCCATCTTTTGTTAATTTTGCTGCAATCCTCATTTTCTCCCCACCTACCCTTAACCCTGGGGATGAAGGAGACACAATGTGGGTCTTTTGTTCAGTTGATCAATTCCTAGACTGAGCAGACGAGGTATAATATGATCCAGTTAATCATTAACAACTGTGGGGAAAAAAGGAAGAAGAATAAAGGATGCTTATATCAGCTGCCACATGCACTGCTAAGCATTTTAACATAACCAGAATTTCCTGACCTGTGCTCAGTGGAACACAGGTTCTGAGGGATTTTCACAGTGTTGTGTTGGGAGTAGGGAGGAGAAAGGAGATTCCATGGTGAAATCAGACTGGAAAATGCTGGCCTAAACAAGGTTAACCAGCTTTCTTTATTGCAGTACTTTACAGAAACTTTAATGTGCCATGAAACATTGTGATCGCTCAAAAGGGAAAACACGAATTGTTTCCCAGCTTATTTGATCATAAAATTCTTTCTTGAGAAACACCTATCATCATGTCTGGTTGGTAAATTTGTCATAGACAATGTCATTTAACGTGCACTTCACAAGGAGGACCCTGTGGCTTAAGAATTTAAGTGACTTGCCCAACATTGCAGTCTTACACAAGTCATTAGTGGCTGAGCCAAAACTCCAAATTCACATTTACACCATAGGAAAGAATTAACTGTGGTCAGAACAGGCAAATGCCATCAAGAAAAATTCTCAATACGCATAGAAATATGTCTGAAATGACTTAGTCGCTTTCCCTGCTACACCCCGAGCTCACTGCCCCTCAGTTCATTTTCTGTTTCTACTGTGTTCTCCCTGGATGAAAGAGATCTCTCCTCTTCTGAATTTTTTAGTACTCTTCCTGTGGGTCTTGGCACATATTGCTTTATTCTTAATTTTGTATATGTATACTCTTCAAACAGATTTGAGGCTTGCAGCGGTATCACTTGAATTCCCTACAGTGTGTGTTGCATGTAGCAGGAGCTCTATAGAACTTTCTCAGTTTATTAATTACCAGCCCTCCCAGCTTAGCTACTGATGGCTTGTGGTGTCTTTTTACAGTATCTAAATGCTACAGAAACATTGGCTCTTGGTTCAGAGATATCACAGGTTCACCTAGGCTGCCAACTCAGTATCAAATAGCCTGATGTTGAACACTGACATACCTGTAAAATGCAACTCATGATATCAGATGCAATTTTTGCATGAGGAGTGTCTTCATCTTTCCCGAAGGGTCTCAGGTTATGTTCCAAGCAGGAGTCCCAGAGCCCTACAAGGGCCTTTGCATGCTTTTCAATAGATTCAGTCTCTCTGATGGCTGTTGTGATTCTTGTGATACAGATTTCAACTACTGCCTGGTCATTGTTATTGGTTTGGTAATCCTGTTTGGAAAGAAAATCTTCATATTAAATAGTACTCTAGAAAGTTATCCTTCAAAGGACAAAATACTAACTCAGTCATTTAGAAAATGGGTGCACCAGGCTGTGTGCCAAGGGGTGAGGGTGTTAAGCCTAATACAGTAAAGGCTTTCTTCCTTGGAGATCCTAATCTTGTGGAAGAGGCAGATACTCAAACATGCTAAAATGGAGCAGGTTCTACTATCACCCTTAGACAAGGATCCCTGAGAATCCACAGGCGCTTAACTATTCATTTGCAAGTGGGTTTAATCTTTAGACTATTTCGGTTTCTAAGTCCATTACAGAGCAGGGGTTACTTTTTACTCTGACATTTCAGCAACTTTTGTGAAATGTTTCAAATTACCCTTCAATTTCCCCTCATTAGTTTTCTCCCTCTTTCTGGACATAATGGAACACATCATTTCATCTCTCCCTTTTCAACTCAGATAACTACAAAACCCATTTTAGCTTTCCCCAACCAGGTTTTCCTCCATTCCCCTGTTTTAATTCTCCCTCAAATACCTGATCATCTTTACTGAGAAATAATGGGACCCCCAAAACATCTAAATGTTAAAAACAGGCCCATTGCATTAATTTGGAAAATTGGTCTGACTGTGAACTTCACATGGTGGACTCACAAAACTGAAAACATAATAGAGCAGGAAAGTATTTAGAACCTGACATCATCATGTGAGATTAGAGACGGGAAACGACGGGATTTTCCGGCACTACACCAAACTCCAGTTGTAACAATTTTCTGTTGCTGTTGCTATAACTAATAGGGCAGTAAACATCTTGTGCATGAAGCTCTCTCTACATTGCAAATTATTTATATACTAGAGCCTCCAGAAGTGAAAATTTCTGAGACAAAGGACAGGAACATTTTTAAGGCTCAAATTAGGTATGCTGAACTATGTTCCAGAAAGGTTTTACGAATTTGAACTCCCTCTAGCTGGGTAATAGCAAGATCTTATTGTACACTTACAAGAACAGAGTATTTATAATATTTCTAATTTGTTAGTGAGAAACAGTATCTTATTGCTATTTTGCTTAGGAATTTCTTTGCCCAAAAGTGAGGTTGAATGCTTCTGTGTTTATGGGCTGTTTGTATTTTCTCCTTTGGGAACTACCCACTGTACCTTATGTATATTTTTCTTTAGGTGACCTCATTTTTTTTTTTAATCTTCTTTGGTACAATGTATTTTTCTATTAAGGATAATAAGTGAACATTTGACATTTGGCTGCAAATATATCTCCATGTTTCATTATTTTTGTTTGTTTGTTTTTTGTTTGTTTGTTTTTGTTTTTTGTTTTGTTTTGTTTTGTTTTTTTGCTGCTATTCAACAACATCCTAAGATTTTAAGTAATTAAATTTGTCAATTTGGGGGGCCTCATTGTTTTTCCTTTTCTAAATCGGAAACTTAAGTTGTTTACATTGTTTTTGAAAGGTAATAGATAAACATGGTACAAAAATTCAAAAGATGCAAAGAAAGGGTTTACAGTGAAAAGTTAATCTCCCTGTCAGTCCTGTTCCTCATCCATCCCAGTCCCCTTCCTCAGTGGGAGCCAGGTTCAGCATATCCTTATGTTTTCACAGAGGCATTCTAAGCACATGCAGATATCATCCACACATTCTCCTTTCTTTCTGTGTGATTCCTGTAACAGATTTTTGTTTAACTTCAAGTTTTCCTTATTCAAAAGTTGAATAAAAATCATCTCTGCTTTTTTCCAGATTAAAAAGAACTTCACAAAACACTCAACATTTATTACTCTAGAAATTTATCTTTTAACCATTTGTTAGCTCTTAAATCTATCTGGTATTTATGGAAATAAGTAGACATGTACATTTTCTTCTAAATAGCTAACTTAATCTTCCTGCTACCAATTAGTGAATAATTCATTTCCTAGTAATTGTTTTAAATATATCAGATTCTATTTCAGGGCTGTCTTTTCTGTCTGTCATTTCTCAATTATTTTACAATGCTAATTTTGCAACTTTCTCTATGTAAGCTTCAGAATTTTTTTTAAACTTTTATTTTAAGTTCAGGGGTACATGTGCAAGTTTGCTATTTCGGTAAACTCACGTCATGGGAGTTTGTTTTACATGTTATTTTGTCACCCAAGTATTATGCCTAGTACTCATTAATTATTTTTTCTGATTCTCTCCTTCCACCCACCATCCATCCTCTGATAGGCCCCAGTGTGTGTTGCTCCCCTCTATGGGTCCATGTGTTCTTATCATTTAGCTCCCACTTAAAGTGACAACATGCAGTATTTGTTTTTCTGTTCCTGCATTAATTTGCTAAGGATAATAGACTCCGACTCCATGTTCCTACAAAGAACATGATCTTGTTCTTTTTTATGGTTGTGTAATATTCCATGCTGTATATATACCACATTTTCTTTATCCAGTGTACCATTGATGAGCATTTAGGTTGACTCCATGTCTTTGCTATTGAGCCTCACAAATTTTTAACTGTGTTTCCTAGTGTATTTTGTCTTTTTGTTGTTGTTGTTAACAAAATATTTTTTTCTCATTAGAACTTTTAATTAGTTTTTGCTGATTAAATGAACCTATTGGGTTTTTTTGTTTTGTTTCATTTTGTTTTTTAGATGGAGTCTCACTCTGTCACCCAGGCTGGAGTGCAGTGGTGCAATCTCGGCTCACTGCAACCTCCGCCTCTGCGATTCAAGCAATTCTCCTGCCTCAGCCTCCCAAGTAGCTGGGATTACAGGAGCGTGCCACCACGCCTGGCTAATTTTTTGTATTTTCAGTAGAGACGGGGTTTCACCACATTAGTCAGGATGGTCTCGATCCCTTGACCTCGTGATCTGCCCACCTCAGCCTCCCAAAGTGCTGGGATTACAGGCTTGAGCCACCATGTCCTGCTTTTTGTATTTATTTTGTAACTTGCTGTTTAGCTTAACTATACTTAATTATGATAAATTTTCAATTCATCATCTTGGGTTTTCTAGAAAGATTTTTGTGTTTTATGCAGCCTTTCTGAGATCTATATATTTTATATATCCCGCGACTTATTATGTTGGCTAGAATATTCTATGCTAGTTCACATAAAAGTAATTAGAACAAGAATGCTAGCTTAGTTCCTAGTTTTGGTTCCTGATTTTTGGCGTAAAATTTTATGGTCAAAACCAAAAAAAAAAAAAATACAGTAAATGTTTTAAATCATATAGAATGCATCACTTTCCATTTTCAAAGTTTATATATTTGATTTAATTTCCCTAGTAAGCATTATGCTGGCTTTTTGGGTGAAAGATTTTATAACATTATAATTTACAATATTAAAGAGGTATCAATCTATTGCTATTTTATTGAGTTTATTTTTAAGTAAAGAATAAATTGTGAATTTCATTAAATGCCTTTTTAGCATCTATAGATATATCAAATATTTTTGTCCTTAGATCTATCAATATGATAAATTACAGAAACAAATTTCTCAATATTAGTTAACTTTGCATTCCTGGAACGTGTTGTACTAGATCTTGGGAAATAATTTTTTAATGTGCTGCTAAATTCTGTTTTTACTATTTTATTTAAAATTTTTCGCATCAATATTTGGTCAGGTTTCATATTAATTTTATGCTAATTCCATAAAAGGATTTTGGAAGATTTAAGCTCTCTATAATCTTACTTATTATTTGACCTTACAGTGGCCCAACAGAAGTGAATTAACATTTCCTGCAACTAACGTGTCTATCTGTTTTTACTGGTATCTCCTGGAGTTTTTCTTTTGTGAATGTTATTGCTATGTAATTTAACATAAAGATATTCTTAATCTTTATAACTCTTGTGAACTGAATCCATTAAAAAAACAAAGTGCCTTTATTTTACTGAATGCTTCTGGCATGAATTTTTTTCTTATCTGACTAAAGAACATGATCCCTGTTCCTTTTGGTTTACATTTTCCTCATATCAGTTGCCTATTTTATTCTTATTTTTAAAATTTCTTTTATAGCCTATATTGTATCAAATGAGTCATTAACTCTCTTTATATAACTTTCTAGGAAACAATTTCATAGCATTATTCAATGATTCTTAATAGTAAAAAATATGCCTAGTATATAGGGTATACAGAAGTCCTTGATCATCGTCTGGGTCCAAACGATTCTATCATAATCAACAATTTAAGCATAGTGGAGCTACATGTAGACCTCACTGGTCTTCACTTGAGAACAGAGGGCCCTGCCTTAGCAAATGAGTGGGCAAACTGTTTCTCACAATTTTAAGCAAAGAGGATTAGTTTTGACTGAGCATTGATTTTCTGTGTCAAAGGATCATTTTCTGTGCTTTATCTGTGAATCTGGCATGGTATGTTAAAAAAAAAACAAAGAAAAGAAATAGCCTATATATTAGGTTTGAATATGTGATATGGTTTTGTGGTAAACATCAAAATGATTTGCTTTAATTTGAATTATTCACATGTGTTTTATAGTCAAGTAAATCATTGTTTAATTTTGCACCTTTTTATTTTAGATTTTCTAATTTTTAATTTTTGGTTTTTTTCCAGACAGGTTCTCTCTGCCACCCAGGCTGGAATGCAGTGGTGCCATGGCTCACTGCAGCCTCACCTTCCTGGGCTCAAGGATTCCTCCTATCCCAGCCTCCTGAGTAGCTGGGATTACAGGTGCATGCCACCATTCCCAGCTAATTTAATTTTTTTTTTTTTTTTTTTTTTTTTGTAGAGATGGAGTCTTGTTATTTTTCCCTGGCTAGTCTTGAACTCCTAGGCTCAGGTGATCCTCCCCACCTTGGCTTTCCAAAGTGCTAGGATTATAAGTGTGAGCCACCATGTCCAGCCTATTTTTACATTTTCTAAGTCATTAAATACATGTCTCTTCTTTGCTGGATTTTGCCTGATGATCTAATCTAAAAGTCTTTTTAAAAAAAATAGGTGAGTTTTACCCTTTATATAAAGTGATATGATGGATACATTTGGCTTTAAATATGTCATATTAGCTCATAT